AAAACAGAGGCACAGAAAGGGAAAGTGGCTTGCCCAAGGTCATACAGTAGGTCAATGGCAGAGGCAAGAGATGAACCCAGGTCTCCAGATTCTCTATCCTGTGCCTCAGCCACAAGACCATCCTTCCTCTGCCTCGTGATCCAATCACTACCTAGGGAAGTAAGGGAATGAAGTTAGGGTATATCTACACTACAGCAGTATAGCTATGGGTCTGCAGGTGTGCTGCTGTAAGGCCATAGTGTAGTGGCTTCCTACATCGATGGGAGGGGTTTTTCCATCGAGGTAGGACAGGTAATCTACCTCTCGGAGAGGCAGTAGCTAGACGGATGGAAGAATACTTCCATCAACCTAGCCACATCTGAACCAGGGGTTAGGTTGATCTAACTACGGTACTTTGAAGCGCAAAACTTTTCAGTCCTGAGTGAAGGTCAATCCAAGTTCTCGGTGTACACCAGGCCTCAGAAGGAGTGCATGGCGTCTGTCTAGCCCAAAAGATCCTGGCCCCGTGTGCAGCCCTACCCGAGGAGTTATGAATGCTCTGATTGACCACATCACCACTCCCAGTGGAAAAAGCTGTACAAAGACATCAAAGCTTGCCTCCTTACTAGTCATAAATACATAAACATATCACTTTAAGCTCGTTTCAGGCTGGCTCAACATGTATTTTGCTATGTCAGTCTTTTTCACAGTAATATGTTTACAGTTCTAGATCATGTTACCAAAAAGACTGGAAAGATTTTAAATTTTAAAAAAATGTTTCAAAGAAGAATATAAACCTCTCTTAATTAAGCCTAGAAGGCTTTCCTGACAGATTCAGACTCTAGTGATTAAAATCACAACTCAGTTTTCACTGACTGCACAGTTAGCTCTTTATTACAGTGTTACTGTTCAAAAAAACATTAAAGTTGTGTCAGCATTTCCATTATAAACCATTTCAGGAGTCTATAACTTAGCTGTTTAAAAAGACTACTCCATGCTGAAACTTGCTGTACAAGGTCCCCGCATGGGAACGGTTTTAAACGCACACAATGTGTCTCAAAAAATATTTTCTGTCCATTTATACGTTAATGTAAAGAAAAGTATCTTACTGAAACAAGATGAAAGTAGCTCCAATTTTTAAAGCACGTGTCCAGTGAGGTGGTAATGCTCTATACCGCCTACAAGTTACTGGTTCCTGCTGTCTCCTGACTCAGTCAACAGGGGCTTGGGGGGGGGGGGGAGAGATGATGCAGCCTGTGGGAGAGGGAATATCTCAATGCTCAGCAGTGACCCAAAGGGAGTCCTCTCTTACTCAAGAGTGGGGAGCATAAAGCGTGGGAAAAGATGGAGGACTCTATGGATTTGACAGGAGGTTAAGGACCCTTGGGGGAAGGAAGGGCAAGTTAGTATGTGAAAGAAAAAAATTTCATGGCAGCTCAGCAGGTTTTCAGAGCATTTTTAAAGGGACAGTGTCAAATCGAGACCTAGTTACTTAAAAAAAAAAAAATTTCAGGCAGAGTGTTACTTTTAATGGCTATTAGCCAGGATGGGCAGGGATGGTGTCCCTAGCCTCTGTTTGCCAGAAGCTGGGAATGGGCGACAGGGGATGGATCACTTGATGATTCCCTGTTCTGTTCATTCCCTCTGGGGCACTTGGCACTGGCCACTGTTGGAAGACAGGATACTGGGCTAGACAGACCCTTGGTCTGACCCAGTCTGGCTGTTCTTATGTTCTAAGTTGATGATAATACCAAGCAGCTCTAACTCTGCCAGCCCTATATTATTCAAATATTAGAAAACTAGAATGCAACTATTAAACTTTGGTGCTCTAGAATAATGCTGATTTTGCAAGTATCAAGATACCTGAAGATTTTAGACTCTTGCTTCGAAGGGTTAAAAAAATTCAGACAATTAAAGTGAACGTATGTTTCCTTTAAATGGTACATAAATATAAGAAAAGTGCAAGGTTTCAGCAATACAGCTTTCATAGGGGTTTGACCACCAGACTGTATAGCTGGAAAGTATCATTATCTGGATGGGAAAACGGATGCATAAAAGCTAAGTGATTTGCCAGGGGTCCCACGAAGAGCAAGAGAAGGGGATGGGAACAGGCTCCTGACTCGGCATCCTATCCACCGGACTTTGTTGGAAAACTACTTCTTTATGGGATAAATGGACGCACACTGTACTCATGATGATATTACAACCAACTTGTCCATCAAATAAATACAATACAGCCATCTTCCATCAACAAGAGCCTGTTTTGGTAACCCCTGCACACCCACCTGACAGAACCAACCCAGCTACGCAAAAGGGATCTAGAATCCCTCCTGTCTCAAACTCTTTCAACAGAACTGTTAACTTACAAATTCCGACTGTAGGGCTACATTCTCCCTCAGGTTAGGCCTGTGCCACCCCCTCTGCCACACCCCACCCTGAAGACAATAGGATTGCACAGATACAACAGAGGGCACGTTGTGGCCTGCAGAATTTACAAGTGATGATGATGCACAAGCCAAAGAGTACCCAAGGAAACTTTCAGAACCCTTAGTGAGTTTGGAGGACTGGAATTTAGAAAAGCCATCTATTTTTATTGTAAATGGAGAACATTTGCTTTGGAATCAAAATAAAAGTAGAACCTAAGTCCATTTTTTACAGTCTCTTGTCACAGCAGAACCCCGCTTTAAGCACTGAACTGATATTTAACAACATTAAGATCCAAGTATATAGGTGACCACTAGCAGCACTAGAGTTAAGAACCTGTCACAGCATAAGCTCCATTTTTCAGGGGCTACGAACTGGGCAATTAAGATCAGCACCATTGTGGGCAAGAACTTGACAGTCAAGGTCTCAGCGCAGGACGGATTTCTGAAGTGAGACACTCATTGGTTTCTGTCACTTCAGCCTGTTCCCCGTGCAAACAGTTTTATTTTGGGAAGTAAGTTTTACGTGGGATTAGAAAAGCCTGGTCCTTGCTTCAGACTAGGAATTAACATTAGAATTTTTTTTTCAAGTGCATAGTAAACTTTACTTATTTTTAAAAATACATTTTCATGCTAGAAAAATCCAGGATGCTGTGAAGTAATTACATGGAAAAGGCTGGTGGTCTAGACATCAAATAGGGACAGATTCTGATACCCCCTACTCACACCAAATAATCCACGAATAATCACATTTTAGTCCTTCAGTCTACTTGTAGAGTAACATGCTACTCAGCCTCAGAAAGGATGGAAGAATCTGGCCCATAATACACATAAAAAGGGAGTGTATTCATAAATTCAGGAGCTACTTTACTTCCATAAGAGATTTCCTTCTTGTTCTTCAATAATATCTAAAAACAACCAGGCAAAATTTAATAGAGAGGCATATTAGCATGCGGAATAGTCTCCTAAGGATTTGAAGGAAGCCTTGCTATGCAAGTCATTTAACAGTTAACTGAAAGGCCCCTAGAGAATGTACTGTCAGGAACAAGACTACGCTGTCAGTAGAAACAGATAGGTAGATGAGGCAATAGGTCATTTCCATCACTAACATCGAAGTAAAAAGCCACAGTGTATTAGAGAGCCTATCTTTCCCCACAACAAAAGGGCCAGACTTCAAAAAAAAATAAATTGTTTTTATTTAGCTGTATAAGAGAAGCAGCCTCATCAGGATTGGGCGGAGGAAGGGTCCATTGTATTAGGTGCTGTACACACAAATTGAGGGTTAATCTGGACAAACTATCTGTCCCCAAATACTACCAGGGGACTCAGAACACCAGGTGTTACACCTTAATACAATAACCGAGGTCCTTCAAAGGCAGGCCAATATAACTCCTCCCTTCCTGTCCCAAACTATCATGTGGTATTATTTTACACTCTTTAAGAGTTCTCCCACTGCACCCCAGAAGTGATTGCATTTGAATGATGGGCGAGATGATTCTTGTAAATGGGTTTTGGATAAAACGGGCTACGTAGAGGTAAGATTATCTTCTACAGTACCTGGGGATGGTTCAGACTAGATACCAAACCAGATTCTCAGCCTTAACTCTAGGCATCATGACTAGCATGGGTAAACCAAACCTTTGGCCCACGTAGATAGTTGCATTGCTTGGACTGTGCTTCAGGAAATGACTCAAACAGCTGCACCTTCAGGGCTGTCAAAACTCTGACTAATAAAGATAACTTGAGGAGGAATAGCCTCCTTGGAGGAATTGAGGAACAGGGTCGCCCAGGGAGGGGCAAGTGGAGCAATTTGGTCCAGGGGCCCCCACGAGAATACAGTATTCTATAGTATTGCAACTTTTTTTGTGGAAGGGTCCCCCTAAATTACTTTGCCCCGGCCCCCTGAATCCTCTGGGCAGCCCTGCTGAGGAAACCTGAAGCACTATCCCCTCCCTTTCAGAAAAGAGTAAGAAATGAGGTAACGGACAGGGAAGAAGGTGCAGGACAGAACTCTCCCCCCAAGAACTGACCCTGGGGAGAGGAATAGCAGAGAGACCTGCCCCCCCCCCCAGCTCCCCAGAGACCCTGACCTGAGGGGGGGCGGGAAAGAAGAGAAACCTAGCCCCCCACTTAGCTTCCCTGACCCCCCGGGGTGGGGGGAGGAGTAAGCAAAGAGCCCTTCCCTCATATGGTTCACCAGAAATCCTGACCTGAGAGAAGGGGGGGGGGGGGAGTAGAAGCAGAGAAACCTACCCCACCCCTGTGGCTCTCCAGGGACTCTGACCCAGAGACCCTGACCCGGGGGGAGGGGAGCAAAGGGCCTTGCCCCCCCCGGCTCCCCAGAGACCCTGACCCGGGGGGAGGGGAGCAAAGGGCCCTGCCCCCCCCGGATCCCCAGAGACCCTGACCCGGGGGGAGGGGAGCAAAGGGCCCTGCCCCCCCGGCTCCCCAGAGACCCTGACCCGGGGGGAGGGGAGCAAAGGGCCCTGCCCCCCAACTTCTCTGCTCCCCAGAGACCCTGACCCGGGGGCTCCCCGGTCCCAGCCCCGCGGGTCTCTCCGCACGTGGGGGTCCCGGGGGGTAGCGGGCGGCCCTCACCTGGTCCCCAGGGGCGTCGGGGTTCTGACTCCCTCCTAGAGGCGGCTCCTCACTTCCGGGTTCGCCGCCGCCATCTTGGAGGCGTGTTGCGTACACGAACTTCCGGCCCGCCAGACCGGAACCGGGGGGAGGCAACGGAGCGGGGGTAACGGGAGGGAGCCGCCACCTGCCACCTCCCCGCCCCCACTACCCCCCTCCTGCTGCACCCCCCCCCCTTCCCTAGTGCCCCCTGCCCCCACCTCCGCCCCCTGCCACCCCCCTTCCCTAGTGCCCCCCGCCCCGCCTCCTGCTGCCACTGCCCCCCTTCCCTAGTGCCCCCCGCCCCACCTTCGCTACCTACCACCCCCTACTGCTACCCAACAACCTACCACCCCTGCACTGCTAACTGCCACCCCCTTTTTAAATTAGGATATCTCCATTAATTTATCTCCTAAAACTGGAAGGGACCTTGAAAGGTCATTGAGTTCAGCCCCTGCCTTTACTAGCAGGACCAAATACTGATTTTGCCCCAGATCCCTAAGTGGCCCCCTCAAGGATTGAACTCACAACCCTGGGTTTAGCAGGCCAATGCTCAAACCACTGAGCTATCCCTCCCCCTGCCACTACCCAACTCCCTGCTCCTACCGCCACCCCCTCCTACCTACCACCACCCCCCCTGCACCCTGTCCTCTGCTGCCTGCTGCCACCCCCTGCTACTTACCACCCCTAGTGCAACCCCCTGCTCCCCATGGCTACCCCCTGCACTGTCCTGCCTGCTGGAGTGCCACAAGTGTCAGCTGTGGTATTTGGGGCTGACATTGCAGAGAGCTACCGGGGCTGTAGGAATAGTGGGGGACGGTCTCCTGCTCTTTTTCTCCCCGACGGTGTGGTGTGGGTAAGAACAAAGGAGACGAGACAGGACTGCTGGGTTCTATTCCTAGCTCTGACACCTCAAGCAATTTGCTTGCCAGTCGCAGAGCCCGGGTCTGTGGAGACGTTCGAGTTCGGGCTCTGAAGTGAGGGAGCCGGGAGGATTTCAGGGCCCAAGCTCCAGCCATCCAAACGGCTGCACTACAATTTTCGGTGCCGTCGCGTGAGCCCGAGTCTGTTGGCTGGGCTGTGAGACTCGCTGCTGCGGGGACGCACCCAGCGTGCCTCGGTTTTCCAACTTGCAAAATGGGGCTGGCGATAACCTACCTCGTGAGATAGCTAAACACTGTTGGAACTGGACTGGATTTCCAGGGACGTCACAGTGGCAGAGCTACGGTTGCTTCTGTCCCACACCGACCCAGTGTTCTCATTCTGTGAATTGACAACAGATCTGCTGAGTCATTGAATTGAAGTGAATGAAACTCTCTGTTCTGGAAACGAACCCAGCTACCTTTCCAATGGTCTTCTTTTGGTTTCCTTCCTGTCCCTTGTGTTGGATCTTTGCCACTTTTAATTCCCTGGACACCTAGACAAAAATAAACCCCGATGGGCTCATGCAAAAAGTGCATTCCACAGGGGTCTATTTTTATGTTGGCATTAACTGTTCTAATCCAAGCACAACAATGCAGATATCCCACTTTTGCTCCATCTCTTCAGCTAGAAACTACCGACAGCCCAGAACCACTGCCATCCGCTTGGCCTTTACCATATCAACGTCCAGTGCGATAAGCTAGTGAGAAGAAGGGCTGCGAGCATGAATAAAACAGGAGGGTTCCCAGACAGTGTAAAACAAGGAGCCTCTATGTTTGTTGTGGGGTCAGGTGTTGGTTTACTTGCTGTTGTGGTGAATGAAAAGGCTTTCATGCCTGGCAGCGCCAATGTGTGCTGGTTGCCACGTTCATGCCCTCCTTTCCCCTCTGCTCGCAGCCTGTTCTTGCCCAGTGTTCACTGGCCACAGCCAGTAAAAAGCCCACCTGGCTCCGCCCCAAGGCCCCCTCCTGCTGCTTGCGGCTAGTTGCCCCAGCCCTGTCAGGCTGCCTCCTCTTCTGGGAAGCCTGCTGGGTGGAGCTGGGGCAAGGGCGGCTATCCTATGGCCTGGACTTGGGGTTGCTGGGGCTGCCCAGCGCTGGGGGGCCCCCGGAGCTGGGGCTGCACTGCCTGCCACTCCAGGGCTGGAGGCGCTTGGGTGGCCTGGGGTGGGGGGGGCAGGCTGGGAGGGGGAGGACTCAGGTAGAAGGGCTGGGCCAGGCCAGGGGCTAGCCTCCCCCTGCCCATGCTTCACCCATCCTCCATAGTGTTGTAGCAGCAGCAGTGATCTGTATACTCTCTATAACCTGTATGCTCAAAAGGTCTGTTACACTCCCCCCCACCCTTTGTCTCCTCTCCCTCTTTGAATACCTGTGAAGTGGCTTTCCCCCTCCCTCCTGGAATGCTTGTGGGATGAAGGGGCTGCTTAAACAGCTGGAAGATCAGAAGAGCTCCTAGATAGACAAGATGTCTGGGACTCTAATTAGGCAGCACTCACACACCCAATGCATGGACACTGTCCGAGGTGGAGTGTGACCAACCAGACGCAGCCAAGTCATCTCTAGTTGCAGGCCATGAGGAGCAGGTCCTTAAAAGGGGAAGGGGCCACCTGCTCAGCAGTGCACTCACAACCTTGTACCTCCCGTGGAGGCCCTTCGCCCGGACCGCCTGGTCAGTGGTTCGCTGCGTTGCATTCCATTGTGCCTCGGGAAGACTTACCTTCATCACACAGTCCATCGTTGTGCTGTGGGACACTTACCTTAAAGGATCCTGACATCTCCAGTGCTGTGCCTGTCCTGGGAGCGTGAGTATGCGAGTGTGAGTGTGACACACACACACCTTTTTGAGCTTAGCTATCAGTATAATAAACGTGCTGCTTTCTGCCAAACTCTGGTGGGTCATTAGTCCTCCCTAAGCTTACTAGCTGCCCCAATTTCAGGTAACACATGACACAGAGAGAGCCTAAGTAGATGGGTTCATCCATTTGCAGTGTTTCCCTGTGGAACTCACCAGTGAATGTATCTTGCAGGTCCCCCCTCTATGTCCAATAGAGGATTTGAGTCTGTTTCAGAGCCACCTAAAGGGCTTGGCTCTTTAGTTCAAGTGGTAGCAGCTCATGCTTTTAGTTCTGGAGGGCCTCAGTAACAGCCATCACACCTACTAACAGGGAGAGCCGATCACAAATAGGAGCCACTGAACCCCACAATTGTGAAACCCCAACTTCAGCAGCTAAAATGGGGCCCAGCTTCCTAGAGCCTGGGGTCACAGACTTACAGGTCCCCTCCCCGAAGTCATAACAGTGATTGAAGGGATTCTATATAAAGTTTTAGGGTTTTCTGGACCATGGCCTCATCAGCTCATATGTTAAGCAGTTGGGTCACCAGGAATTCCTCCAAATAGGTTCAAGGACTCTCAGAAAGATACCGGAAGCCCTACTGAAATTCTCAAACCCACACACATGGGCGATGCTGAAACAGGAGGGGTACTGAGCAGGATCAGTTTAAGTGGGAACCCCAGCAGGAATAACATCCCCGTTGTAAAGTTCTGTTTAGCCACCGCCAAACACCATCTAACAGCCACTCTATCGCCATCAAAAGAAATTAACTTCAAAGGAGGTAAAGAGAACAAAAGGATTTTTTATCATAACAGCCTTTGAGGAAGCCAGCCTGCCTCCCACTCATCATCCTGCCTGGGAGTCCTGAGTGTGCATTTAATTAAACATGCTCAGTTGTCTATATGTGCAATTTCCTTGACATCTGTTTCCATTCCATATCTTCGGGGGTTATGCGCCCAGATTTTATTGAGCTGGATTTTATCCAGAGTTAAGAACAACAAAATGTAACAGAACCTCCCAACTTCCTTGTCTCTCCCCCACTAGGTCAGCCTCTACCTCCTCCATACAGCCCTTGTTTTAACTCCAAGCCCATTCTTCCACCAGCCCAGGAAAGTGTGTGGGAGCGTGGGCTTGGAGCCTATCGGCTCTGCTCCCTCACCAGCCACTGCTGAGTGACACAAAGCCCCCTCTCCTATTCCAGAAGCAGAGCATGCTACCTGCAGAGCATTCTCCATCCCTGCCGGCCCAGAGGGAGAGACAGGGCCAGGGGGATCAATTCACCTGCAGCAGGCACAGCCAGATCAGAAACTGTGCAATCTTCCCACACACACCAGCCCGTGGCAATATGCCCCCACTCCATCTTGATATGATCACCCCCAAGAATAGCCAGCTTTTCAGTGCTAATTAAAGTGTACAGCAGATAATAGCTGGCTAGAGTCTTGCGTAATGTAGCCAGTTGTTGCAGAATTCGCTGCCCGGACACTATCCCATTGCAGCTCTCCACACTGGGGAAGTTATTCTGGCTACACTCTGCTTGTGGCAAGACACACACGAATCTAGATCCCCAAAGGGAAAAGGCTTTGAAACTGACCAGTTCACATTTTAATTGGACGTTGAAAAACAGTACGTGAAACGCTCAGAAACTGAGCATGATGTTGCAAAATGGTCCTGGCACCCCCAATCTACCTTTCCGCGTTCTCCTGCTGGCATCAGTTTAGGAATTGGACTTTAAGCTATCAGCGTCAAGAGAAGATTTGTTTACGTATCTCTCTTTCTAATAACACCTAGGAGGAGTCGCTTATTTTTCACCAACAGTTGTCGTGAGCAAAGTGCAAGAAGTAATACAGATGGTGACTTTCCCTTTCTGTTTCTATGTGTATTTATGAAAGGCTCAAGACGGTATCTTCAGGGCACTTTCACTTTCTGCGTCTCAGACCCAGGCACAGAGTTTGTTGTGTTAGGGATTCTAACGCTGCTGGCGAATGTTTATAGCCAATAACTTGGTTCATTTGTGTGTGATTTCATCAAAATAATTTCAAGGCAGCTTCTGGCTTTGTAAAATCTTTTCTTTCCAGGACCAAACATGGGGGCTTTGACTGTTAGACCATATCCCTTGAATGTATGATTCTTTTCTGGTCCTTATGCCACACCCAGTGCTCGTGCTGGGATATTTAAGCACCTTGGAAATGCGTTACAGTCCATGCTTCCTTGCTAGACTGCAGATCTCTCCCCACTGGTAGCTAGGACAGGCAGTGAATACATTGCCTGCTTCTGCTTTAAGAATGCCAGCTGTGTCCCTTGAGAATGATTG